AGTCGCTGCATGTTCACAACATGTCACAGATGATGTCACCTGTGTTTTGATGCCAGTATTTCACAGTGCTATCTCCTCCAGCACATCTGGTGCCTCTTATCCGTTGGCTTTTTACAGCAAATGGAATTTGAATTACTTCTCTGGAGGTTTTAATGGCGCTAGTGGCATTTACCTGTATACAAGATAAACTCACGCCTTCTGTGAAATAATCAAAAAAAAAAAAAAAAAGACATGTTGACAAACAGAAAGAAAGAAATGGTGGGTATTGGAAAGTAGTATATGATGGGGTGAAAAAGAACTTTGCCTCGGTGTCGACTCCCCAGGCAGCACGTTGAAATCCTGTCAGTGATGAGCTTTTATTCGTTGTGGCAGCATTATATTTCCATGACTTCACAACCACTGGCAATTTCAGACAGGGGAGTAATGAGGATTGTTGGAATCACTGAATTAATGCATCCCCCTCCCCGATTGTCCTCATCCTCACTCACTCATTATACCATCCTTTACTCTCTGTTGTCACTCCCCAACCTCTCAAAGACACTCGCTCCATCTTCTTTCTTTCTTTTTTCTACTTGCCACTCCTCGTCTTAGTAGCCCTCTATTTTCTTTTCATCTTCTGTTGTCTGCTGCGTGTTCCTCATTTAGTCATATTAAAACACCACACCCTGTACCACTCTTTGAAATCCTCTCTCATTTTCCCAGCCTCTGTCATAACACCTTGTCCAAGTGATTGCGCTAAGACTCAGGAATGAGAGTCTTTCTTTCTTTTCATGTGCAGACATGAGTAGAGCACACCCAGAAACTGTACCTGCAGGACAGAGTTGTGAAACAGTTTCCTCTACTTTACAGGCACTTCTGCCTCAGACTTGCCTCTTCTTAAATATCTTTGAATATTTGCTGCTGCTGGTTGTTTTATACTGCGGCTTACACTGAAACACAAAACCCTGTATGTTGTTTTCCGGCTCGGACCTGATGTGTCATTTCCGCAACAAGATGGCTTTTTTTTTTTCTTTTTTTTTTTTTTTTAATGAGTGTGCCCCATTTGTTTCTCTTAAAGAGTCACTTGTGTTTTACAGAAATGACTCAGAGGGAGAACTCATCATCAAGTTGTGAAGGAAACAGATTTTGTCACTAAGATGTTTGGATGAAGTAAATCATCCACTCAATCAAGTCAGATGTGAACATTCAAAATAGAGTGATTAATGTAATACCAAACAGCACGGTTGCAGCGTTTGAATAGCTGCAGTATTTCATGTTATTCATTACCTGCATAAATCTATCATGTCCCTGGATTGAATTATAGCCTTTCATAGCACATCTTGGCACCTATTAATCTCAATAGTACATTTTAGTCATTGCAACTCAAGGTTACCCGACTATCTGCATATTTCCAGAGTGGTGTTAATAGACACTGCCTTTTGTTGCCTGGAACTGTATCAGGGCTGTTGTTGTGCTGCTTTGAGCTCTTTTTTATCTATCTGTTGGCAGGTGTTGCCGGTAGCGATGGCGTGCTGGTGGAACGCCTCCTACCACCTCCGTGCTGTCAAACACCCATACGTACCCCTAACCATTTCAAATGCGTTTTATTATTAGTGCTTCTGTAATGTGATTAGTTTGTACCATAGCCACTCTTAATTTCACATACTCACATTCACAGAGTACGTGTCCTCGACAAAGCCACAATGGCGGGGAAATTGAGAAATCTTCTTTTGCCATTTTGTTATCTTGTTGTGCGCACGAGGCCCCTGCGCGCTGAATGGGAGGCGGTGTTGTGATGTGACCTCGCAGTGAGTTGAGTACACAGCAGAGGTGTGCTGGATAACACGTCAAGAACAGGCAGTCCTATTTGTGAACATGCGTCTTTGAGTTGCAGAATGAAAGCAGTGTGTTCCTACCACTGCACACAAGCAATCTGATGAGCTTTTCCTGGTGTTTCCTGAGCTTCTTCAGCTGCTTTTAATGTACCCCCCTCCCCCATTACCCAGGTAGAGCCATCTGAATACTTCAACACTCTTCCCTTCCATTCTCCCTCTAGTAAAACATCTTAACTCCTGTAAAAAAAAAAAAAACTGCACTCGTTTTCGGCACGGCAACTTCCAAGGTTTCCTCCGGAGGAGATGCGGAGACCAAGAGAAGCCAGAAAAATACCTGAATGTTTATAACTGCTTTCATGTCTCTGTTTTGTTTGAAGTATAACATATTTTTAAATCATTAGTGTTGACATTCACATTCTTCAAATACTGGTGTCAAGAGGTGGTGTCACTTGATCCTTTTATAGAAATGGAGGGGATGGAGTGCGCTTCTGAAGGCTCGCTGCATCATCTTTTATTGCCACTATTTGGTAACTTTAATGGTCTCGCCTTGTGTTTTTCACCTCTCTAAGTGGTAAATATCAAGTCTTTGCCGCCTTAGAAATGCAAGGCAAAAAGCTGCCCTAATTTAGATTGAATAAGGGGACTGATGGGCGGGAAAACTGATCCTCGCAGAGGAAGACAGTGAGGGGTAGAGGAGAGGATTACAGGAGAACGTTCTCCCTTCTCTCTCCTCTCCTTCAATCCCCTGGATTTTCACCCCTCTTTGGACTTGGTGGGAGGATGTGTTCTCGAGCAGGGGTGACCTGGCTCTGCTCTCTCATTCATGTGTGTAATGAAGGCCGGTGTCTGAATAATCCCATTAGGTGGTCAGATTAAAACCTGAGCTGATATTTGAGACTGTGCCCGGCACCGCTTTAGAAATTGGAGAGCTTTGCTGTCGGCCCTGCATGCGAGAGAGGGTGCAGAGGAAGAGCAGCTGAGGAGAGCGACAGTTTTTGGGAGGTCCCTCCATAGGACTGAATGAGTGCCATTGTAATTAACGCAGAGAGTCAGGCTTCAGTGGCATCTTTACTTAACCCAATACCATCCTTTTCTAGCAGATTAATGCCTAGAGATTCATCATTTCCACTGAAAAAAACAGCTCTAATGGAGTATAATGTGTTTGGTTCAACAGTGTAAGGCAATAATTTGAAAATGATCTTCTGCTTATGTGGAGAATTTGTAATTTTTGTTTTGCCTCTTGGCAGAGGTTGTCATATTTGCAGGATTTTGCATTGAGTTGACTGTATTTGAAGGCAACACAGGGAATTTAATATCGCCGTGGAACTTCACATAAACCTTCATTCAGGCTCAATTATGATCAGTTACTTTGTAAATGAGTTTGGAGGTTCATAAAGATAATTTCCCCATCAATATCATCCATATACAGTATATATTATATATATTAAGTGTCACAGTTCAGGGCAATACTAATAAACTATGAATAACGATGTTATCTGCCAGTTGGCGGCACATATGCAGATAATCTATGCATATATAAACTATTATTAAAACCCTATTGTGAAAATGAAGGCGTGGCACAATGAAGTGTGCTACCTGAGTATTTCAGTGCTCATCAGATGTTTATCAGATCCAGATGTTTCCTGGAGAGATCAGCTGATCAACAGTGTAATGGTGTGTGCTAACAAGATAATGATAGGTCATAACGAGGTGGTTCTAATTAAGTACAACAGTAGATACAAATAGTATCAATAGCAGTAAATCTTTTGTTTCTGTACTGACGTGTCCTGCCATGTTGCACACTGTGCATACGAGCCTGTGGTTTCTGCCTCTCTTCCTCACTGTTTTCGTTTGAACTTTTTTTTTTTCTTTTCTTTTTTTTCCAGCCGATCTCCCCCACAATTTGTTTAGTAGACGGCGTAACTAACTGCATTGTTATTTTTTTTCCTCCCATCTTTCCATTGAGGATTCAGCGTTTACCATTGAAGTTAAATGTGCCTCTGCTCTGCAGCTTTAGACGCGCACTACCTGTGCAGCTCGAGGCTTTGATCACGTTTCAGATAAAAGTCTCTCCCGTCTCTGTGCTTGAAGGAGCTTTGTACATTTTATTTTATTTTTTTCGGTTTTAAGTGAAGACGTGTATGTAAGGGACATTTTTTTATTGTAAGCGACGACTGTGCTTTAGTCACAAGTGTTGTTTATCTTCTTGTGTGGAGGTTTTGTGCTCCTTAAAGTGGTGGAGTGGATGTGATGGCTCAGTTTAGCTCTAGATATGGTATGGCTGTGGCAGTTGTGAATTTAAAAGCATATCTTTTTTTTATATTTGCAAGGCAAAATCACAGCCTTCCAACTCTGGCATCTTAGTCATTGTTTGTCTCTAGTAGGCCATTAGTCTCTGTCACTCTGTGGTAGATTAGAACACATCTTTGCTTCATTTGATAACTTTCTCTGTCTCTCTCTGCTGTTTCTCCTGAATAGTATATACTTTTCTCTTGGAAGCATATGCTATTTTCTGCTGTCTGTTCTGCTGCCTGAAAATAAGAGCTTCATGTTTATCAGCTCTCTTGATGCATCGTGGCTGTGTATGCTTGGCTGCTGATAATCATCTCTGACAGTCTTCTTTCATTTCATTACCACCACAATGATGATTGAACTTGGTTATATGTTTTGCTGTACTATTTTATGCTGGGCTTAACTGCAGTCTATCATTCAATATGTTGACTTGGACTTGTTTGAATCCTGCAGAGTTGACTGTATTAAGTGAAAGGCCACATGAATTAATTCTTCCACAGTTTGTTCATTAAAGTGTTTCATTTTGCTCTGCCACCCAAACAGAGAAGAAATGATGGTTAATGCATGCTGACAAAGCTTCACTCACTTTGTTCTCTCTTTGATGGTGCTGTGTGGTGGCCTGGCTGTTAATTTCATTATTTCCATGTCTGAAACTGCATGTGACTGTGAATGACTGAGCCTTGCCACACTGTTGGTAAGGGCTCCTCTGGGGTTGGGGGGTTGGGGGGGTTGTCATGGGGCTGGGTCCTTCCTTTCCCCTTTGCTTTTCCGTCCTTGTCTCCCTTACTTCATCTTTCCTAAAAAAAAAAAAAAAAAAAATCTGCACCTGCACAAATGCACCTCCTCCCACCAGAGCACTGACACACTCCCTTCCATCTGTCTTTTCCTACCCAGAATTCCCTAACAACCCGACAGAACGGAACGGCAGTGAGATACCGGCGGAGCCGCACAATCCAAGCGCTGCCATCGGGGGCGCTGTGGGGGGAGTCGCCCTATTGGGCGTAGCGGCCACACTGCTCTTTGTATTCCTGCGCCGCCGCCAGCGCACCTTCAAAGGAGACTACAGCACCAAGAAACACGTGTTCGGAAATGGGTACAGCAAGGCCGGCGGCCTGCCCGCCCATCCCCCCATCCCCAAGAACCTGCAGTACCCGGATGACTCGGACGACGAGAAGAAACCCGCCCAGATCGGCGGCCCCGGAGGGTTTGAGGCGAGTGAGCGCGACTTTGATGGCGAAGCAGAGGACCTGAAGAGGCCCTATTTCACTGTGGATGAAGGAGAGAGCCGAGATTATGACGAGCGGACTCTGGCTTTCCAGTATGACCCTGAACCTGAGATAGCCGATGATATGATCTCTCAGACCGACGGCTCTGTCATTTCTAAGAAAGAGTGGTATGTGTAGTGGCATGCAACAACCAAACCAAACAACCCCTTTGTCCCCCACCTGCATTCCACCGCACCTTTCACTTCCATCACAACCCCACCCTCCCATTCGTCAAACTGCACCCGTCACGGTCCCTCCCCCCCTGACTCCCCCACATCAGACCCCATCCAACTAATCTCTATTAGAAAATCAAGCGTCTATTTAAAGTGCTAGCAACATCAACTTCTCAGCACGACAGCATTGGTATCAGTTCCATCAGGTGAATGGGCAAGAATAAAAACTAAGGTATGTAAAAGGACTTATTGTCACTGACCTACGAGGCCAGGGAGGTGGTTGGTTGATTAATACTGGTGTATTATTCTTTTTGTGTATTTTTTTTTCATGTTATAAATGTATTAAATGTATAAAAAGAGACTGCAGGTTGAGGTTTTGCTGAGCACATTTGTGAAAGTCCTACACTGGATGTACGATTTGTTTCTGCCTTTATTTTTTTTGTTTGTCTTGGTTTTTTTCTATTATCATTGACATTTTGTTACTTTTATGTCTTTTTGTATGATTTTTGACCAGAAAACTGAGAGTATAATGCTTGACATAATTACAGGTGGCGTTGTAAGTGTTTGTAATTTTGTGGTCAAATGTTTGAGAAAGAAAAAAAAAAAAAAAAAAAAAATTCCGCCATACAGCACCTGCATCATTTCTCTCGTTTCTCACTGGGGTTAGCGTCCATGAAATGATTCACTTTTGTATATTTACAGCATTAAAGGCAGATATGTTATTGCTGTTTTTCCAAAGACATGCTTAGTATTTCTTGACCCTCTGCGTTTATATTGCCTGATTTGTCTCTTTACTGATAGGGAGCCAGTCTACTGAGCCGTATTGGCAGTAACAGATAAATATTGAGTGTTTTCAATTTTCAATCATGTTAAACTAGTTCCCACATCAGCGAATCGGAACAGCAGGGGAGAGAAGGGCTGCAATCGTATTATACACAACAATTTCTCCTTTTTCAGTGGTGCATCACAATCACGTCCAAAAGAGGTTTGGTGAGTCTCACAGTGAAACCTTGATGATGCTCTGAAATGTCGTAATTGTCTCTTGACTTGAACAGGTTGACCTGTGTACACGAGCTCTAAATCTTACCACTATAATGAAATGTCTGGGTTTTTTTTTTTTTTTTTTTTTTTTTTTGTTGTCTTAATTATGTTTTGTTCTAACCCTTTTTTTTATATCAAATGGATGTCAGAGAAAAGTGTCTGGGGAGTTTCCCATTAATGACTTTGTCTCTCATTATAATTGTGTGACTTGGTGCTGAGGAATTGGCTAAAGCCTCCCCCACTCACACCAACAGCATTTTTCTATGAGGAGTCGCCCATGGACACAAAGGACACGGAGAGGAGGAAAATATCAACACAGTGATGCTTTGATTTACATCTACAGAGAAAACATTTTAAAACATGTAAAGGGAAATCAAAATATGACGGTGACCACGCTGGAGTATATGATAAGTCACCTGCTGCTTTCATGATGTTTTCAATCCATCTCCTGTTTCTTTCTAAAAAAAAAAACAAAAAACAAATTTCACTCGCTGTTTGGGGGATTTTAAAGGAATGATTGGTTGTCCTTCCCTCGCTGATGTTGGCGTCTGAATCTGCCAACGGGGATAACAATGACCCTGTCGGAAGGAAGGCATTATATATATGTGGTTTTTTTTAGTCATTGTTAACAAGTGCCAGTGGATGCTAGCATAGCAAATGACTTGTGTTTCTCCTCAGCACTGAGGTCCGTCACACAATCAGCGAAATGTATTTGCTTCTAAACTTAAAAAAAAAAAAAAGAGAGTCCAATGTGAAAAATGGGATAAAACAGAAGCAAAGAGGAGTAAATCCGTGGATATAAATGACATATCTGACTGGCTCTGAACAATATAAATACTGTATTAAGCCTTATTTTATGCATGTTTTTTGTGTGGGAGTGGAAGTGCGTATGTTGCTATTTTTTCTGTATCAATTCCAGTGCGTTTGTCCTCATTTGCAGCTCAAAAGACAGCACTTTGTCAGTGTTGTCAGTATTGAAAGAGGTATGAGTTTATGGGCACACAGTACCCAGCAACAATATTGCAGTTAACACACAAAAAAGTATATAAATATATATAAATATATATAAATAAAGATGAAAAAATAACATCTCTGTGAGAGCAGATCTCTCTGCCAGCAGGAGATGTGAATGTTTTACAGTTCATGCTTGTCTACTGTATGTTTTTAGATGAGCATGTTAATCATGAGCCTCAAACAACATCGTATTTTCAACACAAATTAACATCACAAAATGGTAAATAACACGTTCTTATTAAAGGTTTGGTTCAGTTTAGTTCAGGTTCATCAGTTTCTACGTTTTCTTTTTTTCTTTTTTTTTTTCTGTATAATGCATCCACTATTGTTGGAGAGCAATACATGAGGTTCGTCACAGAAAGTTCGAGAGGGGGGAAAAACTAATTGACAAGTCGCGGGGTTGCCGCTTTCAAAGTGCAAAGCAAATTACAGTTTTATAGCCTTTAGTTTTCCACATGGTTCACATTATAGAATTAATAGAGACAAAGGTATGAGAAGCATGTCTTTATATTTTACTCTTGCATTCAGTGCCTATCGAAGTTAGGAGACATGATTTAGTCTGAACAGTTGCTGCTCCGTCATTCACGCTCAGATTAACATGAGAAATAATACTGAAATATGACATGAGCCGCAAACGTCTTTAAATCAGACGAAATATGTTTGATTTTATTTAATTTTTTTTAACTTGCAGTGAGTTTTCATTAGTATAGTGGGGATGTTCTTCCACCTGAGCTCCAGCATGATACTAACAGTTCGTCTATACCCGACCTTTAAATCAATTGATCTCCTAAAAAGCTGTATTCATTACCATGTAAACATTTATTGATGGCAAAATGGTAACGCGGCACTTTTTTTTCCTGAAGAGTCCTGAAGAGATCAGACTTTTGCTACTTAGTCACACATGGCTGACTTTTCTAAGCACAACAATTGAAATTAATCCAGTGAAAAGAGATTTAACTTATAAATTTAAATTAAAAAACAAAAAACAACAAAAAAAAAAAACAAAAAAACATCTTTGGCCCAAAGCAAAGACCAACTCTACCTTCTTTTTAAAGCACAAGTTTACGGTTTCATTTCATTTTCTTTTCCTGCATCCCTCATGAAACCACTGCCACGCTTGCTTCTAACACATGTCAGAGAGAGAGAGAGAGAGAGAGAGAGAGAAAAACACCTTTCAGATTTGAGTTGACGTTCTGTATACTGGTAGATGTAAACATTGTCTTCATGTTGTCGGGGTGTTATGAGTTTCTATTTTGTAATACTGACTGTAACTTCATTCCATCCTAATCTACTTTTTGTATTCAGTATGTTCAACATTCCACTGTAAATACTGTACATACGGTTGAGATTATAGTCGGGATTTATTTAGGGACAATTGCGTAGGGACCCTGTTCATGTAAAATATATTTTGACTGCAAACATAGAGACTCGATGATGGGTAGATGAAGTTGACACATAGCTTATTTCCAAAGCCCCACCCTAAAAATGCTCCTCCGGTACGTTTTTAAAAGCGCCACTAGCAGCTTCACTGTCATACAATAAGGGGTGAGGCATACGATTTGTCGATTTTGATGTTATGGAAAGAAAATGAAAAGAGAGAAATTGTCTGTATGCAGCCATGTGAATGTATATTTCTGAGGGTGTTACAAATATGAAAAAAATCTCTTGTTCAATTGTGATGACCCAGTGAAGTAACTTGTATTTGTTTTAAGCATTAAATGAGTTCAATAGTCAACAATGTTCTGTCCCAGTTCACTGATTGGATAGATGTGTGTAATCTGATTGAATATGGTTCATGTCTGCAACGCATTTCTTATCGCTGTGCAATTGATTTTAAGTAATAGCAGCGCTTTTGCCGATAGCTTTGATCAGTGGTGTGTCCCCGTCGCCTCATGCGGGTGATTATTTGGATTTCTTTTCCAGCTGTATCACTTCAGTGTAAGACTTTTTTGTTCTGCAAATAAACTTTTCTTCAGTTTGAACAAAAATAGACTTTGCAAGAACAATATTTAAATCCAGCTGTAGCTCTGCTCCAAGAGCCAATTTCGTGTGTGTTCAGGCATCCAGCCATTAGACAGAGCCACACAGCTCTTCATTGCTGCTTCAGGTTTCAGCGGTAAAAGGCTACAGAGGCTAAAGGAGGGTGATTCTCTTTGGGAGCCTCCGCGGTTCCTGTCATTGTTCGCTGCAGTGTTTGTGCCTGAGCATGAGACAAGTATGATGATATAAATGAAATAAAAATAGAAGCAGAAAACATCTCATACTCCAAACACAGTATATCACTTATATCATATTACTTACAGAGTTAGAAGGTCCAGCATTTTTGGTGCCAAAACAGCTTCTACCACTGAGAATTAGTAATTGCAAGAAGCTGAAACGGTCCTGGTGTCACACTGATAATCATTTTATGAGGCTAACGCAAGATAAATGAAGGGATACATGAAGCACATAAGGAGGGTCTCTGATGGATATTACAGCAGCTTTTTGTGGATTTTTCCTTTAATTGGAGAGCAAAAACTGTCAGACAGATGCTGATACTGAATTCAGTGCTTAATGAAGCTACAGTGATATGATAAGAGAGGCCCAGTGTAGAGGCAGACAGATCTGTCTCAGACTGTGGGACTCAAGTGCAGACATCTGCACCGTGCACATTAAGAACAGCCCAGAGTTTGCAGCTGTTGCCATCCATTTGCTAAAAGAGCCCTTTGTAGCCCAAGGGGCTTTGATGGCACATAGGCTTTTAACATGCATGGCCGTCTAGTTATTTCTCTTCCTAACAGAGCCGCCAGTGGAATCCTACAACATTTCCTCTATCAAGCTTCTCCTAGGATGAAATATGGCTGGATTTTTGTTTTACAATACGTTCCTCATGGGCCGTAAATCCAAAAGCGAGTTTGCTAAAGCACCTCGTGCGGCATGTGATGTCACTCCATTCGACACGGTGTAAAATCAGAGGATTCATATCACAGCTATGTCGTATCAAAGGCTGCAATCTCTGAGGAGGAAAATGAAAAATGATCTGTGACTGTGCCTGCCATGATTTTATGTAGATCAGTATGTTTTGGTTTTTTTTACAGTCATAATGATAGTTCTCATATTTTTTGGTGCTAATATGCTCAGACAAGCTTTGTATTTGAAGCTGAAGTCATGGGTACAGTGCAGCACCCACGAGTTGATGAGTTTTCAGTCTGCTTTTATAGGCCACCACTGCTCACTTAACTCAGGCCTGGACTCTTAAATTCAGCTGGTGTTGGAATAAACTCTTCACTGTTAATTGTTTGGCTGCTGATAAACTAAGAATTGGAAAAATGTATCAATCCAAGTGTCGTCAGGAAAGCACACAGGCAGCCAATACCGCGAGTCGTTTAACTACAGCGATTAAATGGTTAATGAACAATTCATTGGGGCTGGAGAGTTTCCTCAGTGATCAGTGAGCGACTATTAGCTGCAGGTCCATTTTATACAGCTCCACATACAGGAGGGAGGAAATCTGATTTCTTCTAATGACGGGTGTTTTCACTCAAGATCTTTATTTAGCTGCTTTATGAAATGTTCTGTCGGT